GACAGCAACAAAAATCAGCAGACTCTGTCTAAAGTCCCATTTTCCTAGTACAAGTGGAAATCTGGTTGATCTGTACATTTATTTAAATGTCAGATGTCTCACCTAGAATGCACAAAGCACAGCCGTGGTCATCATCTAACAGTATCTGTAGTAAATATACAGGTGACTGCATGAGTTTGCTATGGGGAGTTCTGTGTAGTCGGAAGAAACAATACACAGTGTGGAGTGAAACCGGACTGTGATGTGTCATGTGAAAAGGGTCTATTAGTATTTTGGGGCTGCATTTTGATCCCGGAAAATCCTTAATTCTTTAAACAATTTTACACCAAATTACATTTTGGTGTGAGTCTTCAGTTAATTTTTTAAATGCATGATATTTACGCATTCAGCTGGATATTTGTTATAAAAGCACAGTACAGCCAGATATTTTGCAAGTGTATTTAACATTGAAACAAACCACTGACCTGTCTCACAGTCCCAGAGCCTGCAGCTGTTATCAGCAGATCCAGTCAACACGTTCTTTGTGTCCCCTTTGAAACACGCTAAGAAAACCTTTTTCCAAAAACAAATGACTTAAAGTATAAATAAAGTAGATGACACTAACATATAGACAAATGTCTTGTGTAAAAATACTGATGTATATGCGATTCTGCTAGCATTGCTCCAAAGGATACAGTCAACATCCACACACCAGACGGCACCTGTGTGTCCATTATAAGTGCCAAGCCTTTCTCCATTGACAGAGTACCACACGTTCGCAATCTAAAATGAAAATAGACACATAAATACATCATCCCCAAAAAGGAAAAACAAAGCAAGACTGATATTTAAAAAAGACTGATTTATCCAATGTACTTAGTTCATGACTTACTGGGTCTTTGGCTACCGAGAACAACAGATCTCCTTCTCTGTTGTATTTGATCTGAGTGATGGACCTCTCGTGGCCCTGAAGAAGAATGGGTTTCTGCGAGAAACAGAAAGCAGGAGTGTTTATGCCATTTTATTACAACAGATGATGCAAGTCACAGTAACCACTGAGGATATTATATGGTCTTTTTCTTCTTCATACATTGACATAAAACAGATAATGCTGCAGTAATGTTACATTTTCTAGAGTCATTTCACGATCACATGACGGACCTGATATTTGGCCGATTATAACTTAGCATCCGTTAGCTAATAAAGAACTCCCCAACTAACACTGTCCCGGCGTGTCTGCGTTTAAAATAATGGATGGAGTAAGAAACAGACTTATGCTTACCATTATCGCCGTTTGTTGCAGGCAGAATATGACTGAAATTACACGTCAATCTGCCTTAGAAAGAAAACAGTACGCTGTGCGCGTGCTGAACGGCGCCCGGTTACCAACGGAAAAGACGGACTTCATTTCCTGTACGGAGGAAAATGGGTCCGTGTTGCGCACAGATTTCTGATCCTCCAGTTTTGTTTCTTTTTATTTTTTATTTTATTTTTTTATTTTATTTAATGCTTGAAAAACAATAACAACAAATGGCATGAATCAAACAGCAACAATCCAGGGGTTTTTAGTCATTTAGTCCAAGATAAGTGCCAAGTCCTTAATCAAAGTCCTCGTTCGTATTGCTTTTAAGTTGGTTGATCCTTCAATACACTCAAAATACATTTTCATTTCAATTTTAAATTTAGGGAAAAAAGGTTTACACTTACAAAACTTGCTCTTGTGAATATGAAATTTGGCGAACAAAAAAAAACAAGGTTCATGAAATAGGTATTATTTTCCTTTTCACAATCATGGAAACCAAAGATAACATTCTTATGTGTAAATTCAAAATCTGCCTTCACATAAACTTTTATAAAATCAAGAACATCACACCAAAATGTCATTGAATGAGGGCAAGTCCAAAATAAATGAACAGACGTCTCAGGATTCACTAAGCAAAATGAACAGTTGGTGTTAATATCATTTAAGTCTTTTAAGATTACACTTGTCTGGATAGCATCTATGAATCAGTTTAAATGTAACTTCTCTTATTTTGTTTGTTATAAAAAAAATTGTGGGGTAATGTCCAAACTTTCTTCCAGGAAATATCATTCACAAAACCATCATTCCAATATGACATTACATAAGGCACAGTAACAAAATCTTCCTGAAACAGGGCTCTTATTTTCTTATTGCATTTTGATTTAGATAAAGAAAGGCAGTTTTTACCAATAAATGTTTTCCAAAGATCCGCTGAATGAAAAGTAATTGGAAATGAAAGTCCTTTAAAAAGCATAAAAACACCTTGTGGAATAGCATCAGCAACAATAGCAAAGTCTTTTGGGCTTACGGGAATTCCCTGCTTAAATAAAAATTCAGAGTAGTAACAAAGTAAACCCCTATCGTTGAAAAGTTGAGACACATAAGTTATATCATTTTTAAACCAGTTATTGAAGAATAGAGATTTGTTTTTATACAAGATGTTCTTATTATTCCAAATTATATATGAATAAGGTGTAAAATTGTGTTTAAATATGAGGGACCAAGTTAATAACATTTGCCTATGAAAATGGGACAATTTTATGGGGATTTTCATAATATTATAATTACAGATTAATAAAAATCTTAATCCACCTAATTTGGAAAAAATTACATTAGGGATCAGATTCCATATAGAAAATGGGTTATTGAGACAGTTCTTTATATAATTTATTTTAAAGGTATTGTTTAACGTTGTGAAATCAAGAAAGTTTAAGCCTCCTTTCTCTACAGTATTCCCGAGTACAGATTTCCTAATAAAATGAGTTTTATTCTTCCAAACAAAGTTAAGGAGCATAGTATCAATTTTTTTTAAGAGTGGCTGAATCAACATTTAACCAGAGAGCAGCGTATGTTAACCTTGATAAACCTTCAGCTTTAGATAGTAAAATTCTACCCTTTAAGGACAGATCACGTTGGAGCCACATATTAAGTTTTTTCTTTGTTGTTTCAATTATTGGATTAAAATTTTTCCATCCAATTGACTGATGAGAATTTGTTTGTCAGCTATACGAATACCATTAAGACCACTATTAGATATAAAGGAAGTGAAAATTGGGAATCTAATAAAAATAAATAAGGAGACAATGGACACCTTTGTCGTATACCTCGTGATAAATAAAATCTGGGAGAAGTGCCATCCCAGTTTTGTTTCTTGAATGAAACAATTATTTATTTGTTTGTTTGTATTTGTGTTTTTTTTTTTTTTTACAATTGATTGTTTAACAGAAAGATATATTTGGTACACATCATTTACAATATTAAACACTGGAATATTTACAATGGTGCCAATAAAGAAAGAAAATGAAGAAAAAACAAGAGAAAAAACCCTACAGAAATCAAACAAAAATAAAGAAAGATCGACAGCTTATCTGATCTGAGGAAATATATTATACATAAAGAAATTGAGAGTGAAGAGGGCAAAATAAAAAGATAACAGCAATTTAGAGATTTAACAGATTATACATATTAAAGGTCTACAAACTGCATGTATGTTTCTTGTCCTGGTGATACTGTATTGTTTTTTTTAAAAAAGCATGTGTAATCCAGAGGGAATAGCACCTGTAGTTATTGCAAACTCTTTAAGAGTTACTGGACTTTTCAATTTTGTGAGACCTTCCTCATTAAAAAGCTGGTTGACATGGTCTATTCCATTACTGAACCATTGATTGGTAAATATTTATTTTTTTATTAAAAGAAACGACTAAATGATTTATGTTTGTTACAGAGATGTCATTAAACACCGCTGTTAATTAAAACAGTCACTTAAGAATTTATACTAAACACTTTATTATATAACAAAGCACATGGGTCAAAGATGAGACAACCTTTTTGTGCTCGCAACAAACTAAACTTGTTAAAAGAATGATATACAGTGAAAGTATTTTAAATGCCCTTTAGCATATTGACTGCACCTCTAGCAAACGGTTGACCATGTTTTTACTGTTTTGAAGAATGACTTTTAAATGGTTTACACTACAAAACATTGGTTTACAAAAACAACAACAACAACAACAACAAAAAAAATCTAACAAACATAATCCTCCTGTTGCACTTCTACACTTGATTTTGGTTTTATTGTGAAAAAAACAATAAACAAACCAAACAAAAAAAAAAAACAATAAGAAAACAAGTTAAATGAAGATCTGAAATATTTGATGGCATACTTCGAAAAAAGGTGTTCTATGTGTTTTAAGAAAGAGTTAAGAAATCCAAAAAATTTTCTTGGTGACAGTTAAAGGGTTAAAATACCAGAAACAATGTTTCATCGTCATCCAGCGAAACATACATTTAATAATAACAGCAGTCCCATTCTGACATGTGCTTATAAATATGTGATTTACAAATGATTTTTCAAAAATGGGTTGCTGGTTCGAGCCCTGGCTGGGTCAATTGGCATTTCTGTGTGAAGTTTGCATGTTCTCCCCATGTTCGCATGGGTTTCCTCCCAGTGCTCGGGTTTCCCCCACAGTCCAAAGACATGCGGTATAGGTGAATTGAATAAACTAAATTGGGTGCAGTGTACAAGTGAAAGAGTGTGTATGGGTGTTTCCCAGTGTGGCAGCTGGAAGAGAACCCGCAGCGTAAAACAAATGCTGCATAAGTTGGCTGTTCATTCCAACGTGGTGACTCTTGATTATGAAAGAGACTAAACCATAAAGAAAATGAATGAATATTGCTTATAAATGGATGAAACTAGTGGTTTGAAGGACAGGTGCAAAGCATAAAGATAGAAAGTATAGATTTAAAATGACAATCCTTTTCTATTTGGGGGCTGCACAATGATCCTTAAAAATATTTTGTTATAAATATGCCTGACAAGATCTTTTTTTGCTATATTAACTGTGAAACTGAATAACATACTGTAAGTGTGTCTTTTGTAAATCATGGTAAAATGTTATAAACCCAACAACTGGGGATTCCATATTAGACATTCCATAAATAATACCAACACTTGATTTTACTTGTTTGTTACAAACAGGGGGAAAAAACACACAAATCATTTGAATTTCTTTAGTATTTTAATTCGCAAATAAATGTATACAGGGTGTGAAATCAACACAGATCTTTGGTACCTTCTTTTATAATGGAAATGTCAAATTTGAATGAAGAGCAAATGATAAAACGACTCACGAATACCAGTTGACAAACTTTTTGAAACAAAAGAATCTCAATTGAAGCAGATACCATGACTTGGAATGGAATGCGCAAGATTTTACATGGCCAACTGATGACTGGATGCACTTCATGCTCAACACTACACCAACATTTTACTAATCTGCTCAGAGAGCTACTGCAAGTGTGCTAAAACATACTGGAAAACAAACTCAAAAAATCCAAGAGTGCTGGAATTGACTGACATCACTGGACTAAGTCACTTTGTGTGGAACTTACATTCATTTCTCAGCATGTCAGTGCTTTGCTCACCTGCTAAACACCAAGATGACATGAACAGAGCTAGAATTGCATAGTGTTTTTAAATCTTCTGACCTAACTAGACTTGGGGATGTATGTATTCTTCCTTTTTTAACTATATGAATATATTAAATACAATTTGTACGCCATAAACACAAATGTAAGCAGAAAATTGTGAAATCGCAGACTGAAAAAGTGGTCATGACATAATTTAAGTGCATGTTACCAATTAGAAGTTAATGGAATGAGTTAAAGGAATGCATCTACAGTATATAAACCAAAAATACTAGTGGTGTAAACTTAAGTTAAACGAAACATGTGAAAAATTCAAGTGTTGTGCAAAAGCGAATCCTGGGTTCAGATTAGCTGAGCCTTCAACTTAAAATAATGTTAGTCTTAAATGTACGTCTACAATTCTAAACTCCGACAAGTGATGGATAACAAACCATACATTCTTCGTTTGGTGCAAACTGATTTAAGGACGACAAACTAAAAAAAAGGGAAAGTATACCAGCAGATTTTACCTGACATGACAACTTAAGGCCAGAAATTAAATAAAACTGCCTAAAGAAAGAAAACAAAACTGCCTCACAAACTATTTTCTTCAATTTCAGCAGTCTGTTAATATTCTTAACACCAAACTGACAAAGAAAAACAAGCATTTAGTGGACAAACACTGAGCATTCCGAGACAGCAGCAACACCCATGCCCTTTCTAAATGAAAATAATGGAATTAAAGCGAGCCACATAAAAACCAAAGAGTAGAAACGCAGCATAGGAATCATGTTTGAAGGCACAATCTTCCCTGACACGATGAAAACCCCCAAGAGCAGACGAGTCAGCAGGTCCGTGGACGCATAAAAACAACAAGACGCCACCTGCTCGTGGAGGTTTGTGGTGGGGGGGAGGCGGGAAGGATTGTGTGTGTCCTGGCCCACCGGAGACAGCAAGACTCAATCCTGGGCTGAACACACCTCTCTGCGAGTCTCGGCCTCCAGGTCTGGTCCGCAGTGGCACGCCGGGCTACAGGCGCTTTGTGGAGTCTCTGGGGTGTTCTGGTGGACGGGGCTGCCCTCCTCAGAGTCTGTGGCTTCAGGAGGTGACCCCGACTCTGTGTCCAGCCGACTTTCGGCACCTGTAGAAAAACTCTGAACTTTCTTACTTAACTCGTTGCGCTCTATCTGTAGCGCGCGACAGAGCTTCTCCAGTCGCTGCACCTTCACCTGCAGGCTTTCAAAATCCTTGTCTTTTAGTGTTTTCTACAGCAGACAGAGAGAAAAGACACGCAATCAGGATTTAATGATATTATACATGGGGCTCATGCACATTTTTACTACTAAAATTCCAGGACTTTTCAGGTAAATATTCAGGACAATGTTTCATGTAATGAATAAGTACATGTGGTAAATAAGAGAACAAAAACGAGTTCAAATTTATTACAGCAAATGTGACAATCCCTGTAAGTTAATATACTTTTTTTTTTATATGCATTATATATATATATATATATATATATATATATATATATATATATATATATATATATATATATATATATATACTACTAAAATTCCAGTACTTTACCAAAAAAATAAGAAATAAGAAAACAAAATGCACGTTCAAATTTACTACAGCATATGTGTTGATTAATGTAGTTTATACAAATTTTTGTATATGTATTATATAAAAAAACACACATTAAAATTTATTACAGCATATGTGATGATTGATTGTATTTTATAATAATTTTTGTATATGTCTTACATATTTTTACTACTAAAATTATTATGTATATGTATGCGTGTGTGTATATATATATATATATATATATATATATATATATATATATATATATATGTATATATATATATATGTATATATACATACACATATACATACATATACATATTTATACATACATATATGTTTTTTTATCTAGATTTTAAAAACTTTCAAGGATTTAAGATGCTGATGACCATTAAACGCATCATTAACAGTCTTGTAAAAAAAAAAAAAAAAAAGGGTCCACATTTTTTTTTTTTTTCCAATGTTTTCCAATTTGAGCACACAAACACACTGACAGAGTAGCTCCGCCCCTTTTTGAGATTAAGAACATATAGCAACAGAAAAAGGACGGACATGTTTTGGAGAGCATTTGATGGAAAACTAAATTATGAGGGGACTTCAACAAAATCATTAATCCATTTATGTCAACATGACAGGCTCCAAGCTTTGGCTGTTTATATTGATTAAATATGAATTGTGTCCCTGTTTAGGAGCACACTAGCTAATAGATATCTAAAAGATTAACATATTAAAACTAAAATCTTTAAAAACGTTTTTTTTTATTTCACAGAGACATTAACTGTCGAAAGAACAATCACCTCTTCTGCCATTTCCAGCAGGGCTTTGTTACTGCTTTCCCATCGTGATCTGTACATGGTCGTTTCCTTCTCCAGCTTCTTGATCTTCTTTGTCATCTGCAGGAAAACAGACTGATTAAAACATCTTCACAAAAATACTGCCTTTAGAGATTTAGGTTTGTTTAATTGATACAGTGGTGAATGAAATACACAAATCAGGTACTCAGTAAAATTGTAGATACTCTAATAGAAAGAATGAAAGAATTGTTTGGGAGCGACTCTCGTAAACCATAAACAATACAATATTATGTTTGCAGATATTTAGGAAATATGGCAAGCAAACATACTTATTTATCTGAAAACAATGCTTAAGTCAGTTATTCTTCTTTGAAAATGTGCTCCATCTGTCTTTTGGTCAAAAGCAAGGATGTCAAACTCTATTTCTGGAGAGCCGCAGCCCTGCAGTTTAGTTCAAACCTTGCTTCAACACACTTACTGGTAGGTTTCAAACAAGCCTGAAGGAATCAATTAGTTTTATCAGGTGTGTTTATTAGGATTGGAACTAAACTGTGCAAAGCTGCGGCCGTTAGGAATTGAGTTTGACATCCCTGGATTATAGTGTGCAATGGATTCAATGCAGGTGGGATTTAAAGGAATAGTTAACCCAAAAATCCAATTTCCCCACACGAAAACAAGATATTCTGGGAAAAAAAAAAAACAGCCACTGATATCCATAGTAGAACAAAAAAATCTATGAAAGTCAATGCCTTTTTTTTCCAACATTCTTTAGAATATCGTTCTAGTGACAAAATCTTAATTTTAGGGTCAACTAGCCCTTTAAGGAATGCAGGGGATTGATATTTGTATAATATTAATAATATTAGTTAGTTTTTAATTAAAATTTGAGAGAATATAGGTATTTGTTTATGCAGTGAGCTTTAACAGTTTAACATCTATTTCACAACAGAAGTTTTTCTAAATAAAAATACTTTATCACGCTCCACCATCGCACTGAAAAGATGACAACGATAAAGAAGACCTTCATTTTGTGCACAAATGCAGATGCTACAGTTTTCTAATTAGGAACATGAACCTCATAACATCCAAAAAAACAAGTCATTTACCTTTTCCATCTCTTGTTTGAATGTAGTAAAGACCTCGTTGCTTTTGGAAAGTGTGTTTTGGAACTCTTCAAACTTCTCGGTGTACAACGAAAGCTGGAAAAAAAAGAGATGATTCCAATACAACATGTTTTGGAAGCAGCATTTGACCTTGTAAAAACTCATCTAAGGCGCTGTTTCCAACTAGCATTTTTATTGATCCATTTACCAAGTGGTCAGTCGAGATGTAAAAGTACTGTTTCTAACTACCTTGAGATTTCAATCAGAAACTTTTCCCAAATTTCATCATGCTTAACAACTCTTTGAGGGAAACTATTGAGATGTTCTATCAGCATGTTAGCCAGATCAGACCAGTCTTATATGCTACTCACCTGCTGTTTCAGATGAACTTCCTGTTGTTTCATGAGCTCATACATCCTCTGAGACTCTGCTGCCTCTTTCAGGAGCTGGAAAAGAAAGAAACGAGACAATACAAATATTATTCAGTAACCGACCGCTCTGTCCAGATGGAATACACACAACAGACTAAGAATCAACTTTATTGTGCTGTTTAAGTAACTAAAGTTGCAGCATAGTGCCATTTATACTGGCCAATCAAACATTAAGACATCAAATTCACAGTGTGCTACACAACTTACAGTCTTTTTAGCACCAATATGTTCTCCTCCTCAAAAGATTTGTTCAGTAACTAAATGGCAACCATAAAAAATGAGTATTTGTTCTATTCATTCTGCATGCAGGTACTCTAAAATGACACCTTGATGGCGAGGTCTGTAACTCAGCATGTTAGTAGTGGAGAAAATAGCCTAGGCAACAACACACACACACACACACACACACACTTGGGGGCAGTATCACAGTAAACGTCTGTACGTTCACCTCCCTCAGTAAAGAAAAATATATATTTGGATTCCTGGTTGCTTACTTTTAAACCAAATGTCAATTACTTTTCCGACCTTAAATGTCTAAAAAAGAAAAATTTCCACAATTCTGCTAAAGCAAAATAAAGCAAACACTGCAAATTTAGGGAAGCTTGCTACTTTTTTAAATGGTTCTGATATACTTTGGTCTGCAAGGACACTTTTCAATTCTAGTTTTATATTAAATGACATTTTATTCACAAATAGAAAGGGCTCACTCGGCATGTGAACAATAGCAGTCATAGACACAACATGGCAGCCTGTGACTGGTTTTAGACATATTTAATTTTTACAGGGTTCCCACTCTTTTTAAAAACTGTTTTTCCAGGACATTTCCAAGAGTTTTTTTTTCAGACAATTCGATTCAAAAGTAGGACACAAAATGTCATACACGTTAGTAGTAGGTTTAGTACTGAATAAAACATGATTTTTTTTCTAATGCTGCTGTTAAAGAGATTTCAACAGCTGCTTATTTTTACCATCTAGAGTTATGCATCAAATAAGATGGAGCAGGCTTTATATAGTTAAGAGGTAAACCTTCTCAGCATTTCCATTATATCAATTACAGAGACCAATAGTTCTTGAGGTCAAAATATATAAAATATATATATATATATATTTTTTTACAGCAACACAACATAAGAAATGCTGTAAATGTTGCAGTAAATTAAGAAATTTTTGTCATTTTTGGCCACAATAATAAGAAATTGACTAATGGGTCTTACAATTTTAAAATGACAAACAAAATTCTAGGGGTGTCAAAATTAATTGTTTTTCTGATGCACCATGATGCAGACAAACAATTTGGTATCAGTTTAGTAATTATCATAACCGGTTATTTTGTACTGACGTCATTAATCTCATATGCGTTATATGGCTACTATGGCAAGGTAATTAAAAAGCAGATGCACAATTCACTGCTTGTGAGTTTGCTGGACAGTCTTTCACTGACAGGGTAGTACATCAGATCCCAGCTAAGAAAAAAAAAATACAATAATACCAACCAACCAACCCTCTCCTCTTTCTCTCCCTCCCCTACAAAATTTCCTCATATTCCATAACTTGGACAGGAATATATATATATATATATATATATATATATATATATATATATATATCCCCTGACTTTTGTATTAAATTCATTGATATTCTAGAAATCCCATGACCAGTATCATCTGAAGTCATCGAAAAATAATTGAAGTACTAAAAAAATGATGTGGAAACTCACAAAGTCCTTCTCTTTCTGATGCCGGTCCTCTGAGTCTTTGAGCAGACCCTGTGCCTGATGAAGCTTTGCATCTACTAGCTGCTGTTGCAGATCTTTCTGTTTGAACACCTTGTCAATATGCTAAAAGAAAAAAACAAGTCATACTTAAAATCAGTTCATCACTTAAAAGTCTTAATGGACGAATAACACTGTATACAAATAATAAAACCAAAGGCAACAGTCGATAAAATTATGCTTTACTACAAGCTAGTCCCACTATTGTGATTTTTTTTTTGTCAATTTTAATGAATGATTGCAAACTAATGTGATACATTGATTGAAGAGAATAAAAATACTGTTTATCTTCTTTCACTACATATACAATTATCTTCTACTTAACATTTAAAGCCTAACTAATAGGGATGTAACGGTATTGTAAATACCGTCATACCGCAATATTAATGTTTTTCGATATTACCGTAGTCGCATGACTCGGTAAAACTTTAGGTCTTCTTAGAAAATTTGCTCAGACGAATGAAGCGAACGGGAGGTACCGGAAACTACAATTCCCATCAGCCCAGGCTTGGCCCTAATCCCTTGCGGTCTGTTGTCGCTACAGATCCAGTAATGCGGAAATGGAGTGTGCTGCTAGAAGCGGGGATGAAAAAGAGCTGGGTGTTGTCGCCGCGCGCGTACTGAATAGTGGTGTTGTCGCGCGAGTTCTTATCAGCTGTGTTGTCGCGCGCGTACTGAATAGTGGTGTTGTCGCGCGAGTTCTTATCAGCTGTGTTGTCGCGCGCATACTGAATAGTGGTGTTGTCGCGCGAGTTCTTATCAGCTGTGTTGTCGCGCGCGTACTGTAAAGCGGGGACGGAGGGTATGTCGCGTCGCGGGGGCACTTTTGATCACTTTGGAAGGGAACTTTCTATCCAAGACTAAAAAGGGCATGTGCACTGCACAGGTTGAGCCCTGTGTGTGCACGTGCCTGCAAGTTGGGGAATAGGACTAATAATCAGTCATGGGGACTGCAGAAACACAGCACACTGTTCAGATTGATGCAGACATGAGATCTCTATCTCACTCATGGTTTGTCCTCTCAAGTGGGGGAAAGACAATGCACAACGTTACCCACTGCTGTCAACCTGGGCCAAGTCATATCTCTCTGTCCCAGAAACCTCAGTCCCAAATGAGAGGGGTTTTTTCTGTTGCAGGGGACATTGTAAATACCCAGAGATACCAGCTTTTACCAGATTATATTTATATGATAATTTTCCTTTAAACCCATCTCTATCTAAGTGAGTGAGTGATTAAATGTTGAATGTGATGAGTTTTCAACACTACTAAATTGAAACTTAATTTTTTTTACATGGTTTAATATTTTTTTGTTATTAAAATTGAAGTTCCTGTTTCAAAGCTTACAGATAGATGACTAATTTGTATGTCATTGACACTTTTGGCACTTTTTTGGAGTATTTTCATAAGTTTTGTTTTTTCCTGTAAATGATTCAATAAATACCGTACCGTGACATTCATACCGAGGTATTACCGTACCGTGAAATTCTGATACCGTTACATCCCTACTAACTAATAATGTTTCTGATTTAAAATTGCATTACTCTTCAATCAAAATTACAATGATGTTTTTTAGTTTTTTTTGTTCCGTCTCACCTCCTCTCGGAGCTCGTACTGCTCAATAAGCTTCTTTAGTTTGTCAGCCAGCTCCATGTTCTCCTGTCTCAGGTTTGCATTCCGCTCATTGTGCTGCTCCATCTGAGCCTGGATGTCATTCAGTGTCACCTGGAAGTGTGAAGTCACTTCTTTCCTTTTCTCCTCCTCCAATCGGGCACGTTGCACACCATCCTCCTGCCAAGTAAAGCAAACATAAAAATTAGGAGTGTGGCAATATTTATCATCTTTGATAATGTTGTTTGTTTTACCCATATGTAGGGCCAGACGGAATCTGCGGACATTTTTTGCTATTTCTGCTATTTAAGACATTTTGAAATAGTATGTTCAAATAAAATGCTTTGGAAAAAGCTTAAATTTCCCCCTTTTTCTCGACTCAGTCTCAACCAATTCTGCAGATAATAATTATGTCAACACATCTTAAAGAGCCCATATTATGGGTTTTTGAAAATTCCCCTCCATGTAGTGTGTAACACAGCTCTAAGTGAAGTGAAGTATCCAGCTAAGGCTTAAATCTGTAAGAATACAGTGTTTAAAACGGTTGATTCATCTATAAAAGAGTCGACTCATAGTGCTTCAAACGAGTCGCCTTGATACCGAGTCATTAGGTGTTTCGCCATGACGTACGAACGAAACCAAGTTATTCACGTGCACGCGTAAACCCGGGAGATTTCAAACCTGAGGCCCCGCCCTCTGACGCAGAAATCCAGACACACACACACACCCACAAACACACGCACACAAACATGCCGGTCGATTGAAGTCTGCAGATGGATATTATCGAGGGTCTACCCAAAGATGAAACATCAGCATTATTACCAAGCAGTTGAAAACTACTGGAAACTACATGCTACAAAGAATACTTCATCTGCGTTTGTTAAAGGAAGGATCAGTAAAAAGTAAGTTAACTTACTGATGGATGTCAGGATGGATTTTTCTTCCTCCATTTCTCAAGTGTAAGTACGTGCGATTAAAGTTGCCTCGTTTACTCAAGCTTGCAAATTTATTTAGTTGTGATTTGTTACTTGTAACCGCGTGTACTGTATCAGGTTAACTGGCTATATTCTCTTATCGCGTGCAAAGTCACATTAAAAATGCGACGCGTGCTGCTTTGTTTACGGAGCTCCGTGGTAGAGGTGTGCTGTCCCCGCGCCAGATTTCTGCATCGCGGGAATAAATTTCCGAATAAATCGCGGGAGCGGTCGGTAACGGGTTTAATTTGGTACGGGGGCGGGCTGTCTAGCAATATCCGTGATGAGAGAGAGAGCTTTGCCTGTGTGTGTGTGCTTGGTGCTTGTGTGTGTGTAGGTGCGCATGCGCGCGTATGAGAGAGAGAGAGAGAGAGAGAGAGAGAGAGAGAGAGTGAGAGAGTAAGAGAGAGAGAGAGAGAGAGATGTCTGTGAGAGAGAGAACATTGTCTGTGTGTGTGTGCTTGGTGCTGTGTGTGTTTATAGAGACAGCTTGGCTGGACTGTATAGCTGGATGATTTTTGGTTTTGTTCTCCCCCGCTCTTTAGCGGGATCCATCGCGGCGGGCAGAAAACGGTGCGGGTCGGGCACCGGGGCAACAAATTTTTCATATAAGCGGGAGCGGTCGGGTTCAGGCTAAACTTGGCGGGTGCGGGCGGAAGCGGGAGCGTTGTCGTCCGGAGGTGTGTGTGTTTTTGTGTGTGTGTGTGGCAGCTAAAGTCCACGCCTACACTATCGAGCGTGTATGAACTGTGATTACTTTCTATATTGCTGATTAGCTATTGGGCATTTCACTCTCTGACTGAAGGCAGTCGACCAATCGCGACAGACTGTCATCGGTCCAATCAGCGCAGATTAGCTTCGCGCTAAGGAGGGGTTTGGGAACAAATGAATCACTGGACGATTCATACGGGAGTCGCTGGGATAATTAGGTAAAAATAAATGCAGATTATAAGACCATGAAAGTGTTTTGACCTTGCATGCATATTAGACTGTTGTTGGAGACCCTTACAACCAAGATATGACCCTATTTCATGTATAATATGGGCTCTTTAATAAACGAGCACTATTAGAGTATAGATTACTTCTCTTCACATTATGCTTGCATTACCAAGGCAGCAATGCTTTTGTTTTATTAACAATCATTCCGGAGAGCTCTGTTATCACTTAACAGCACCATTGAAACTTAACGAGAGTGTTCGGTTCTTCTCTCTCAACCTAACTAGGCATGAACAGTCCGTCGAGAGTAAAACTTTTCTTAGCAGACAGCAGGTAAACAGAGTGAATAAATAGTGGGTGCAAAATAACACCCAGCGGGAACGGGACTGCAGTAATAAACCTACGTAAACATTTTTTATGCTGTATGTCCGGGTCTATATGGGACACCTCTTGGTCTAGACACAAGCCTCGAGCCATTAGTTAGTGACCACTGATCTAGGCTATCTTTGCAACAACAAAGATAGCCTAGATCAGTGGCTATTTTTGTGTCTGAATTTATATAAAGAGTCTGTTGAAACACTGACGGCAATGCACTATGGTTTGGTCTCACCTGTACTTTTCTTCTTCACAACTCTCAGAAACTCCACACGCACACAGACACAAGGAGCCGTGATGTCAACAACAGACTTACATACTAAGAGGTGAATGGACAGATCCTTGCATGTAAAATGCATGTGAATGGTAATCGGAAGTGTACGAAGCCAGAACTTTTTTTGCTTTGTTGCATTTATTTTAATCACCAAACCAATATTAATAATGCATATTGTGAACCGTGGATCACAGAGTGCACTGAACTGTGGGAGGACAAAGGGACGATATTATTTTTTTGTACTGAAAAACGTTGCACCCCTATCGCACACCCCTACTTTGAATTAAAAATTTGAATGTGCCATGCACATAACTCCTCCAGTGATCCCTCTTATCTTGTTATTTGCATTCAAATCAAGTTGGTGTACCTTAAGTGTGCGGTTGTGCCTCTGCAATTCTCGACAGAGACTTTCCAGTTTGCTGCGTGCCAGGATGGCCTTGCTGTGCTCATTTCTTAGATGGTCCTTCTCCTGAATGAGCTGCGTCTGCTTCTTCTGCAACACCCGCATCTGTTTCTGAGCATTACGGTGCTCCTCTAACTACAAGAAATATAACAGAAGAGGCACATCATTATAAGTCTGCTAATATGGGGTTGTCAAGACAGTAGAATATTAACATTCAATAGCATGTGTACTGAATAATTACACTGAAGAAAGTCACATAAGTGGAAATGTGGGCTGAAACTTCTCAGCACTTCCTGGTATTGTATTCATGTATAGAAACTGAAGCTTAGGCAGCTGAATGTCCGCCCAAAGGCTTAGGGCAACCGTGGTCCTATTAACCCTTAATCAGCTCATTTATACAGACAACACTGTCTAATCCCAGTCAGAATACATCAGCAACTCATGAAACAAGCACTTCCTTTGATCTACCTAAAAACTGTCTTTTATTTTTGGTTTTATTTGCCCCTGAACTTCATTTAGTAATGCCAGTACACTGCAAAAAAACATTTTCTTTCTTAAACTTTTTGTCTGTTTCTAGTCTTAATATCATACAAGCGAAAGTAAAATAATCTGTCATTGGGATGAGCAAAATAATCTTGTTATCGCTTTGATATTTTTACTTGTCTAAAAATTATTAACTCGAGTTTTCAGACATTTGGGCTGAAAATAAGATAAAAACTCAATATAAGAAAAGCATCTGTGTAGGTACAGATATTTCAATACAAAATGTTTTTGAAAATTTTACCATTATTGTCACTATAAACAATAATATATATATATATATATATATATATATATATATATATATATATATATATATATATATATTGTGGAAACATGAAACGCCACTATGAAATGAAACATGGACATTTTGAATGGCAGTATCCACAAAATACAAATTACAAATTTAAGAACCGCAAAACTACAACACCTAAAGTTTTCATTGCACACCTTTTGTATTCTTCACTTTTTTTGGAGAGAGGTCTGGATGCAGACCTGGTGCAGTTGCAATCTGAGCTACATGCAATGCTCACCTAACCCCACCTCTAAAGCCTGGTTTATACTTCTGCGTCAAGTGAACTCACGGCGCAGGCAACACACGCAGCTGTGCATTTATACTTCTGTGCGCTGTCTCTGTTGGTCTGCATTAACACTTCCGAAACGCTAGTTGGCAGTGAGGTGTAAATGTTCCTCTGTGTTGAGTTTCTTCGCTTTTGTTTTGCGTTTCCTGAACAAGTGACTCAAACTCGCTCATTTTGAGGCAGGAACCGGCGGACGTGCAACAGCTTTAACTATGAGGTAAACACAAAACAAATCTTTCCATCCGGAGCTCCTTCACGGGACTCCACACTTGTAAACAATCGCTACATTGGGTTCGCGCCATTCGCACGGCTCTCGGTCCTGCCCCGACTCGTCAGCGCTACCAAGCCAACCAATCACAGAGCTTGCGTGTTGTTTTTTGAGAGGTGCACGTCAGCGACGCCGACAGCCACGGCGAAGGGCATTGCATCAGCACCGTAGCATACGCCGGTGTTTGACGCAAAAGTATAAATCAGCCTTAACCCTAACACTCACAGTGACCTCATTAGCATCATTGTGCGCATTGTCTGACATTGCATTTCTGAGATATGCAATCTTAACTTGCATATCATGGCTGCATTCAGATACTATTAAGTCTATATTTTGTTGTATTTTGTACAAAAAAAAAATTCACTTTTAGTATTGGTTTTGCCACATTTACATTGTATTTAATGTGATTTAAATGCAAATGCAACTTTATTTAAAGAAAAATAGTGTTGACTTGTGATGCATGTAATGGATGTTTATTAAAAACAAGTTATGCAATATCAATTGTTGATAAAATTCAAATTTGGACCTTTTAACGTAGAGCTTGAGAACCCTCTGTTTTATATGCTTTGTTATAGTAAACTTTTTTCAAACAAAATTACCTCTGACAAAATATTAATGGATTCATGCCACCTCAAAATAAAATAATATTTATTTGTACTATTAAAAATTATTTTAATAGCACGGGTCAGTGTCTCATTCATAAAGACTTGCAAAAAACTTAAAAAAATAAGTCAATGAAGAACGTGTAACATGAAGACAGCTACTTGTCAAACTATTCTTGAAACAAGGAAGTTAATACAATATCTATAAGTATTCATTACTTTTTCTATCCATCTATCTAGACAGTATGCAAGAACAAAATACTGTTGGAGGTGATCATAATATAATCATTTCTTACCAGCTCAGCATACTTCTTGCAGAGACCACCCAGCTTCTCCTCTGGAGTGCTCAGTGTGTTGAGGGTCTGCATTAAAAGAGTTATCTCCTTCCCTACAATGCACAAGTATAAAACAAATTTTAGTTAACAAGAGGGTTTATTACTGGAGTTGACACATTTTATGCTTTGATTTTGATTCAAAAGCTCTCAATTTGATTGTCATAATTGACCATTTGGGTCGATTACTACAGGTTACCACTTCCTTGCAGTGTGAAATGACACTAATAGAAAACGAAAAAGTTTCTGAGGGTTTATGAATAACTAAATAATTTAACAAAGCTTTATTGATCTCTTTATCAAATACTATTTAGTTAGAAATTGATACAATAAGACAAAGTTCTTTAAAAACCTTCAGCAGTTCATGATAGTATGAATTGAACTGAACTATGAAAGTGACAGCTCATGAAAGGTACTGAGTGGAACAAAACTGGCCAACTATGAACATGCTGAAATATTAATAACTTTATTATACATTACATGCATTTTAATTCATATGATTTTGACGAGACTTTTTTTTTTATCTTTCACAGAGGCTACATTTATTTAATTAAAAATATGATATGCTCAGTTACACTGCAAGTAACTGATATATTTGAGTAATACCTCAGAGAAGGTGTGGAAAAAAGCAAGTTGAATGATATACATTTATAACACCTAGATTAACTTTTGTATTATTCCATCAGGTTCAGGAGAGTGTGTTGTTTTGTGTGCATGTTTTGGTTTTTAGTTAGAGTAGTTTAGTTAAGACGTTTGATACCTTGAAGAGGTTTCTTTTCATGCTTTTCATATTTAGTTTAGTTTGTTTAATACAGTTAGTACATTTTGATTTATTTTTTCTTTGATTTGAGCACCTCTAACCACCTCACATCCATCAGGTAAATTATTATTTATTCATTGTAAATATTTTTCTTTTACTGTACAATATTTTTTTTACTTGCTTTAACTGGAAGTATGGCCAATAAATAATGAATTGCAGTGATATTCAATCTTTAGTTGTTCGTTCAATCACTGGTTATACGCACACAAAATTATTATATGTTAGGTCAAAAATACCCTAAATAACATCTAAATGACGTAACATTAATATATTCGCCATATTATACATATTTACGTTTCAGAATCGCTACTCCATTTTTCATTGGCAGGTGATCACTATAACCACTATAATATGCTTATTTGGAGATCAAGAAGCATTTCTTCTCTTTGTCAAAGTTTAAAATGGTTTGAGCCTTCATATTTTTATAGCACAACATTTTTACAGGATCATTTCTTCAACAGAACAGAATATATCTGAAATCTTTTGAAACACTAACATTTTTACTGCTTAATGCATCCTAGTTGAATAACAGTATTAATGTAATTATATTTAAGGTATTAAATTGGTAGTGTACATAACTGACAAATAAAGTCAATTCGAGTATGTAAAGTATTTTATACCAACTCACCCAGTCCCTTCACTTTCTTCTTCTCCTGCAGCTTCTTCTGATCTTTCTCTACACATCCGTTGCCATTCAGTTTGGCTTCCTCCTGCTTGCCGTTTTCCTTCTCAGACAGCCCATTGACTTCCACACCATTGGTCACGGCGGCATTCTTGCTGCCAACACTGCCATCCTCATGACAGTAGGTGCTGAGGATGTCCTCCAGCTGTCTGCTCAGCTCCTCAGCCATATCACAAGAAGAAATTGCCCCAGCCTCTGCCACTGAACACAAGAAACATGCGAGATGAAACACTGCATTGAAAACAGCTTTTCCACAACAAAAGTTATAGATGTAAAGTTGGTGTTTTGTGTCATTTATGGCCCCTATCATTTTTATGATGCAGAAAACGCAAAACTGCAGAATCCAGCCATTAAAAACAGAATAAGCTGCACAACACAATTTCAAGAAATATTTGGATAAATCAAAAGCAGTGCTGAACATCTGATAAACCGATGAATGCATGTGACAATTAAACTACAAAAAATTTTTTATATGAAGTCTGTCTGTTCTGCATTAATAAACAGCATGATTTTGTTTGTATATACATTCATACTAAAGCACTTGTCACCATATATAATATTTAGATGGTAACCCAAGTCACTTTACAAGCATTTTATTCATTTATTTTTTTTTGAGAATTACAATGTCATGCAAACAGAAACTCAAGTGTCTCCACAACAAAATGGGACAGACATATTTCGCTATTGTAGAATGCACTTTTAAAAGTGATATTAACTAACAGTTTAACAAGTACTGTAACTGCCTGGTATACTTTTGGCAACAGTGTATTAATTTATAATTAAAAAACAAATAAATAAATAACTGGTGGTGTCAGGAACACAATTTAACTAAGGAAAAATGGTGAAGGTGTTTTTTTTTTTTTTTTAAGAGAGCAGAATAAAAAAAAAATTTTTTAAAAACTTAGCAGACAAATAAAATAAAACTGAATGAAAAAAAAAAGTTTAAATGCATTCCATGTTTATTACATTTAAAAAAAAAATAAATAGAAAAAGATTTATGTGCAACTAAATAAACACCATAATTTTAATTGACTTGATATGCTTTTTGATTTAAACTTTTTAAATAAAGAAAATAATTATATAAATAGAATTTATTTTCTTAAAGTTTATTTTTATATACTGTTTAAAATAATACATTTGATTTCCGCATATACATCAGCTTAATCAGTACTTAATCAGCCAAAACTGGAACTAACAAACCAAATTATGATAACAGTAAAAACATCTGTACACCCAAGTTTATGTTAGGGAAAAATGTTAGATACAATATGGGGGAACAAAAAAAAAACATTTCTAAAATGTTGTTGATGTTTTGTAGTAATTTATTTTGTTGCAATATTTAACTTGATTTTACTTATTTTTTCATTTCTAAATATGTTTGGTGACTAAAATATAATTTAAATAAGCATATCTGTTCAATAAATCTGTTTTGTTCAAATGCACCAAAATATTTTGACTATATTTACTGAGAAATGGATAAAAATATTAATTTTCAAAATGCTGTGCAGAATAGTACAACACTGATAACATTCAGTCAAGAAAAATATTAATGCAGAATAAAATGGGTATTATGAACAGAATAAACTAATTTTTAATATGAAAGGGAGAAAACTTTGCTTTGGAAAATAAAAACACATTCCAAATGACAAAATCATATCATGTCCCTTACAGCCTTCATCTTTGTTGGCTGGTGAGCCGTCCGGCTGTGTTTCAGCTTCTTTAGGGCTGTTGGTCATCTCAGATGCAGGCGTGCTCTCCTCAGTATCATCTGCACTGCTATCAGCTGCAGGATCCTCCATTTGCCTCTGCATGGCTAATTTATAAGCAAATACTAAAACACACAATGCACAAGTTAAAGACTAACAAGACGACACGCTTCATCATAAAACAGCTTGAAGGTTTCGGTTTCAATTCAGCCTCGCCATTACTAATCACTTTTTGTAAAAGAATTCACCAAACAAACCAGGCCGACAGTTGACTCTTTAACTCACCATGGTAACAACGGTAAAAACACGCTAATCACTAAACACTAGAGATCACGTTTACAGCTATCAGACGATTGTCAATCATTCAGTCCTTCGTGCAGTTGTCAAACTATTACTAACAGACGTGCAAAACAAAGAACATGTTTTACTTTAACCTGATTGATAATAGCTGTAAATATGTATATAAGTATAACTGAGAGGAGAGCTGTGGCTGTGTACCATCTCGCTCGACTAGTTTAGCTGTCGTGGCTAACAAAACGCACAGTTAAACATCCGAATACTGAATTGACGCGCTCTAATTTGTCAATATTTCGCTAAACATGTACATTTAACGTGTTCGCGCTTTAAAGTAATAATGTTTAAAATAATAGCAGTGTCTTACTTTGGTCTAAGAAACCACTTCTTATGTTTGTCACCACTCTTTACCCTTCCCACTGCCGATTCCAACTGACACAGGAAATGCCAGGGTAACACTCTAAGATGATTGGACGGATCGTGGCAAACTTCCGGTGTATTTTTGTTTTTTTATTAGATTTTTTTTATACTTTATTATTATAATTTAGATCGTTATTTTTTGTAAAGCAATATATGATAATATTAAATAATTAATGTAACTGTTAATTAAATAATTAAATATCTTTAAATGAGAAAGGTTCTGGGTCCTGTAGGACCTATTTTTCTTTTATTAACGATAAGCGTGTGTTTGGCAAATAAAACGTTAAAAGCAAGATTATTATTATTATTATTATTATTATTATTATTATTATTATTATTGTATTTTGTGTTTTTGATAATTTTTTTCTTTATTTATTTTTTATAATTCCGGCATAAAGTCTTTTATTAAATTAAAGACAATTAAAAACTAACCAAGATCACTTAAAAATATATAGACACCAGCAAAAGTGCTTTATTTCCTTATTATTATTATTAATTTATTAATATGTTTTTGTTGTTGTTGTTGATGATGATGATAATGGTGATGATTAATGAACATTGCAAGTTATAAGTTTACTATAAACAC